CGAAGCTAGTACGAACAAGAAATAAAAAACCGATGCTGGATTTGTTTATAGTAAAATGAGAATAGCTAACCATTATTGAGATGATATTAAATGAGAGAGCAGTTATTCGTGAGTTGCGTCTCAGAGGTGCCCCAACAACTGATTATAGTTGCCCCTGTTTCACCTTTGCTAGTTGTTTGTTTTCGGAAAGATCTATATAAAGTTAGCTTTTTTTGTGAAAATTATACGTAATTATCATCTGAGGGAGTGTTCCATTAAATATCACAGACTGGTTAAGAGAGATATTCAAAATTATAAGAAATAGTTCACACGAAAGCTTTGGCTTTGGCCTTTAACATGAAGTATTCTCATGTTATAATTCTAAGTACTTTTGAAACTTGTGAAATTCTATGCATTCTAGAATCCACTGGAGCTAAAACCATAGAGCATGATTGATTATATAACCAAACAGAATTATTCATGATAGTTTTTAGCTGCCAAATTCTCCGAAGGAACAGTTCAGACATATCAAATCCATCGAAAGAATATCTAATTAATATATGGACTTAGCTGGTTTTAGAGACAATGAAATTTTTACAAAAAGTAAACAAGTATCTTCGAATGAATTGCGGAAGCAGCTCTGTCACATGTGTCTAGTATTGGAATAGAATATTCAATGAAAAACGGCAGTTAAAGAATTTACATAAGTTCATTTAGAGTAGATTTGAATTACATCAAATGAGATTTTCTGTCTTGATGCATCTTTGTTTCTATACACTGGTTCATCTAAATTTCTTCATGTATTTACAATTAATTGTTTAATCCAATGACAATTTTGAAAACAAGCATCACTTGAGCTTAATTAGTATATGACAATTATTGGTCTAGCTAAACTTGATTTATTTTTATCTAAAGCTTCGCCAAAAGATATTTCTACAGGTAATACAGATAAATCACATTTTCAGTTATTGTTAATCATAAGGGTTCGGTTTAAAATTTTTTGGAGATATCTTCTTTATAGGCTTTCTTCACGAATTCAACGCATTCTCTTTTCTTGAGACCTATGAGCGTTGCTCTCATATTGTGATTCATATAAATTCCCTTAGGTGCTACTTGATGAGTGTCAATTTGATTGGATGGTTTGTATCACTATGAATATCACAAGACACACAATGGCGCGTTCGCTGAAACGGATGCACAGATTGATGTTTCCATTGATACGCAGTTTTGTTAAAGAGAAACTGCTAGCTGCAGAAAAAGACTTGAAACCTGCCACAGAAATCCTCAGACAGTAAGATATTCAGTCGAGGGTTAAGCGAGTCGCACAGACGAGCGCTACTTGTTTTTATTTAAGAAACATATTAGGTACAGCAACGTGACTGAAAACGAAACAATAAATGCACATGATAAAAGTTTTGAAATAACAGATTTTACGCATTATTATTATTTCCAGATACGTACGTTGCTCTATCAGTAAAATTCTATAAAATTAAAATGGATCACGATTATTTTTTGGCAACGTTAAATGAATTTATACAGAAAACAAAGGAGATCATTGAAAAATTGAATATAGAATTAGAATGGATAAATGGTCACCATGACAGATGCCGTGTAGCTAAAACAGCAGGCACTACTCTATCGGTAACTGGTGCAGTTGTTACAGGAGGTGCACTTCTCCTCGCTCCGTTTACAGGTAATAGAGTTTATAAAAAATGTGGAGCGATTAAATTTACAATGTTTACTGAGTTCATAGGTGGTGCTTCACTTGTAGCAGCTGCTGGGTATGGTGCTGCGGTAGGTTTAACAGGAACTGGCATAAACCTCACAACTGATATAACTGATATCTTTGCCAGCAGAATAGTAAGCAATGGAATCGAGAAGATTTGTGCTGAAAGAAATCAAGTGGCCCATCGTTTGCAAGAATGTTTACAGAAGCTCGAAGATCAGGCGAAGGAATTCATGGAATACGACGTTGATGAAGATACAGCTTACGCGTTAGCTGCAAAAGGTTATACGATCTACAGTGTTTCTAAAGGTGCTTTGACATTAACGAGATGTGCACAAGCTGCAAAAGACTCTTTTAACTTAACTTTACGCAATGGAGGCAAGTTTTGGAGAGGTTTGAGAATCCAGTCTGAAGGTTTAATGAAGACACTTGCCTATTTCGGTGTCAATGTCAGCAAAAAAGGAGCCATGCTCATCGTTCGATCGGGTACGATGCTGCTTAGTGGTATTTTTGCAATCTATGATGTTCGCTCCTTAATAAAAACCCTTGAAAATAATCATCCGACTGCTGATGGTATTTCAAAAATAATTGAATGCATGAAGGAAGAAATGGATCAAATTTCGAAACTGCGAGATGAATCGATGGAGTGAATCAAACCTAGAGGCTGGTCCGAATGAAAAAGAAACTAACGTCTATGTTTCCTACAACAGAAAGAAATTTGCTAATCTTAACTCGCTTTTTTACAAACGACGGTTCATGTCGAATTAAATTAAAATTGAAATAAAAATTCTGCTTTAATAAATGATTTAAAAAAATAATAATGCTGATTTACCAACCAGTCGGATTTCATCTAATTCCTTAGGATAAAGGTGGATATAAATGAAATCTTATATTAGCAGAAAGGCCATGCAATTTGACTCAGTGATGGGACCGATTCGGTTTAAATATTTTTCTGTTCGATTCGATTCGACTCGGTTCGAGGGTGTGGGTGTGGGTGTGGGTGTGGGTGTGGGTGGGGGTGTGGGTGTGGGTGTGGGTGTGGGTGTGGGTGTGGGTGTGGGTGTAGGTGTGGGTTTGGGTGTGTAGGTGTGGGTGTGGGGTGTGGGTATGGGCGTGTGGGTAGTGATCCCTTATTTTCATACCCACACACCCACACCCACACCCACAC